CCAAAAAAAGAAGCCACAGCTAAGAAGAAACTAATATATTAGGAAACTAGTTGAAGAGAAGGGAGAGTCCTCATTTTATTATTGGATAGTTTATTTTTACTATTACATTTGATATATACTTTATCCATAAAATCAAGCTTACTAGGATAAATATAGATTTATTATCAAAATAAATATTTGAGCCATGGGTTAAAGTATGTGAGAATTAAAATCTGTTGACCAAAATACTTTACCAAGAAGTATACTACTTTTTGGAGGAAATACAAATAGATTTAACTTTGACTTGGACTTTATTGAAATCTTTGATTGACCAAGAACATGTTTTGAATTGATCATTTTTATTTTGAATTGAGATTATGATTTTACAGACATTTAAAAACACAGAACCAAAATCTGTTCAAAACTCTTGGCTTCTTTTAATCCTCTCCTGGTCTAGAAACCAGGCTGCAATAAATCTCAACGCTAGATTATATACATAAAATTTTATTTATCTAACCTGGACACATTTCAAATGCAGTTGTAATTATAGGAGCTTATTATAATGTTTGGAATGTGTTCTTCTACAGTTTTGTATCTTGACCTCTTTTATCATCTCTGCTAGATCCTCATCCCAAACTCCAGCCTAGCAGATTTGATCCTTTGAGCATAATGACTCAGGTGGCTGGGCACCAGCAGGAGAAAAGTAATTTCTCCACCACTTGCTACTAAAAATGAACTCATGATGTCTTTCCTTTCTTCACATCATAGATGGGGTAGCATGAAGAAAGCTCCTACTTTACTTATTTCCAACTAAATCTTCTTTTCATGGTAATTAGTCCTGAATTTTTATTTAATGACATTTCAGAAGTAAGATAGGCAATAGAAAAAAACAATTATTTTGCCCAGGGCTATGGAATGTTCTAAATAGCCTCATTTACTGTTAACATTAGAGAGGAAACTTGCTTGTCATTATTTTGTAAAATATATGATGCTGACATTTTCCTTTTTTCCAAGTAAAATAAAGTAATAGCTCAAGAAAGGAAAATTATTTTCTGAGTTATATATAACTCTTAGTTTTTTGCATCAGGTTCTTACTCATCATGCTTAATTGCCAAATCTTAGAGCTGTAAAAAATACATTGTACTGATCATATTATGAGATCTGATATTATTTATCTAGAACATATTCACTCTAACAGCTTCCTTCACTTAATATTTAGTAAAAAAGTACAATTATTACTAGATAAATGTAAACATCCCTCAAGCATGATAACTGCTCTTTTGTACAACTTTTCTTGTCTCTTATTTAAAATATTTCATGTGCAGCATAGCTGTGGTGGCACAAGGAGGGGACACTGTGGAATGGTGGCTGAGGCCACATGAGAGGCCTAGGTTTGGTTTCTGAGCGTGTTGGTGTGCACCTGTGATCCTAGGGAACTAGGAGACTGGGGCAGGAGGACCACAGTATGGAGAGACTGTGTAAAAAATCTCTCTTTCTCTCTCTCTCTTCCTGCCCACTTACCTCTCTTTTCAATGCTCTTTTTAAAAAAAATTAACTTAATTTATTGTTATTATTTTAAATTTTTCTGTAGGGTACATGTGTTCACCAGAGAGAGACAGAGAGAGAATGAGTGAAAGAGAGAAAGCAAGCTGCCAGGTTCAGGACTCAAACCATGGTTGGCCATGTGGGAGTCCAGTGCCTTAACCACCATGCCATCTGCTGGTGCCTTAAATGCTCTCTCACTCTGTGTGTGTGTATGCGTGTGTGTATACATACACATATATGTTATGACTTATTGATGCAATATAAGTGATACTTTTAAGATAAATTCAGAAATGCCCCTTTAGGATCAACTATTAGACATGAAATGTGAAATTCTGTCACACTAGTATGAATGACTGCTACTATAATTGCTGGCTCCTCTTTTATTAGGCTTTTTATTAATTAAATGTAAAGTCTGCTATTGGCCTTATAAAAAGTGCTCATCTGTTTTCCTTTAATTTCAAGTAGATTAAAAGTGAGATTTGGCATTAATTAAAAACTTAGAATTTATGGGAATTTTAATTGCAAATAACATTTCAGCGGTGGTCACATAGATTACTTCTTAGTTCTGCTTAATAAACATGGTTTTGAACAATGACAAGACAAAACAATAAATCATTTGATAAAAAGAGCATCATCACTGGCTTTGCTGTCCATGGCTACCTTTAATCCTATCTAGCTGGGGGTATCTGTGAGGAGGGGCTTGACACCTCAAGGTCTGCTTGAATAGCATTAAACTTTTACACCGTTGTCTGGGAATTTCACTTTTACTATGAAAATATGGATGGTTTGGAAAAACAGCAATATAAGTCCCTCTTCCCCCAAATCATCAGCAGCATTCACCTGCTCAATCAAAATAGTAATACTTTCACATCACGTTATGCAAATATAATTTTGCTGTTTTTCTTGAGGTTGAATATAGGATGTATAGGATACTGATGTACAAGAAGTTTCTGGATGTTTTTCATGTTACTTTTTATGAGCTTAACCAAAGAAAACCAAAACCATCTTCTGTGGGGACTTACAGTACAGATATTTTCCAGTTAGCATCTTTGAATATTCTCCTCTGCCGTGAGTCAGGTGTAGCCCTGTCACACTGGGCTTCTAAGAGGAGCTCTATCTTTGTAGCCCAGGCTACATGTGACAAGATTAAATTGGCACACTTTACTGTATAGCTCTTGTATTCCTGGCAGCACTAGCCTAGCTGATACCTCTGAGAGCAGGCTCAGCTGTCACTCAGTGACCCATTAACACTATCGCTCCATCCTGCAGTGTCATTTTTCTCATTCTTATGGAGATATTGCTCCCTGGAGATCCCCAATACCTGCAGGAATGAAAGAGAACAGCAGAGACAGGCTAACTATCAAAGAGGGAGCAAACAACACAGCAAGACCATGAATTCCAACAGTCGAATTTTAAATTGAGTGAAAAGATGCAGCCCATTATGATGGCTGCCTTTGGAAGGTGGGGAGAGGATCGAGTTTTAAGACCTACCATAACTTTTTTAACAAGCTATTTTTCTCCTTCCTGCCTGAATATCAAAAGAAATGCCCAAAAATAACACTTGCAACTAGATAGAAAGAAGGCAGCTGCTTTGAACAGGTAATAAGGAAATCTGGGTAAGAATTTATCATTTACAAATAGGCAATGGATATAAAACAGAGCATCCATAAGGCAAATTGCTTACTATTCTAAATGAACAGGCAAAGGTTGGCTTATTGAAGTATACAATTACCTTCCTAGGAAAAGCACAAAAGAAGAAAATGAAAGATGATCATTGCAGCGCTAGACCTACAGCTTTGTCCTAGGACTGAAGTGCTACCAGTGGCTTGAACAAGCTCCATTACTCTCTTGTGGTTCAAACTGCAGATGTATTGTTTAGCAGGTCACTTCCTACGAAGACACACTTTCTACGGCTTATATAAAGAGGCATTCTAAGAACATGTTTCTTGATTTCTAGGACTAAGACTGGTCCAACTAGACTGATACAATAGCAAAAGCAAAGGTATCTAAGTCTACGAAAACCTGTTCAAGACATCTTTAAGTACAAAAAAACAAAAACAAAAACAAAAACACAACAAATTAAAAAAATGAAAATAGATGACTTAGTAAAAAGTGGGGGAGGAGTAAATAGGGGTCTGGACAGGATTCAGAATTATTAGAAAAGGTAGGAAAAGGCAGGACATTACAATTTTTTAAAAACTACAATCTGCATCTCAACTCTACCTCTAACTTTCCCACATCAGATAACATTTATTACTGGGGCTAGACTGTTACTCTCAGGCTGAAAATGGGTACCATGTACCCCAACCCTCGGATGACACAGGTGCTAGAATTCAGAATAAACATGGCATGTTCTTCAAGAGCATTAATTTTGTGGGAAAAGTGATGTGTTTTTTAAAATGTTAATTATAAATGATTCACAGCTTTATCTTTATATTAAAATAAATATATGAAGTAGCATAGCTTGAACAAGCTCCATTACTCTCTTGTGGTTCAAACTGCAGATGTATTGTTTAGCAGGTCACTTCCTACGAAGACACACTTTCTACGGCTTATATAAAGAGGCATTCTAAGAACATGTTTCTTGATTTCTAGGACTAAGACTGGTCCAACTAGACTGATACAATAGCAAAAGCAAAAGCAAAGGTATCTAAGTCTACGAAAACCTGTTCAAGACATCTTTAAGTACAAAAAAACAAAAACAAAAACAAAAACACAACAAATTAAAAAAATGAAAATAGATGACTTAGTAAAAAGTGGGGGAGGAGTAAATAGGGGTCTGGACAGGATTCAGAATTATTAGAAAAGGTAGGAAAAGGCAGGACATTACAATTTTTTAAAAACTACAATCTGCATCTCAACTCTACCTCTAACTTTCCCACATCAGATAACATTTATTACTGGGGCTAGACTGTTACTCTCAGGCTGAAAATGGGTACCATGTACCCCAACCCTCGGATGACACAGGTGCTAGAATTCAGAATAAACATGGCATGTTCTTCAAGAGCATTAATTTTGTGGGAAAAGTGATGTGTTTTTTAAAATGTTAATTATAAATGATTCACAGCTTTATCTTTATATTAAAATAAATATATGAAGTAGCATAAAATATTCATATATATATATATATTTTAAAGATAAAAAAAGACTGTAAGGCATTATTGGTAGGAAGGAACCTCTGGCATAAGCTCTCCGAACTCTCTTGTGCCTTCCGGATTGAGTTTGTGTCTCTCTTATATTTGATCCACTTGGGGGGAAGATCTGAGAAGCACAGCTATGCAATTTCGCAGAGGAAAAACGACTCTGATTAGCACAGAACAGTAATGAAGGTGCTGTTAAATAAGATCGGGGTAGTTCCACCAAGTCTTTCAGCCTAAGAAACCACCTTAGTCTCCGTTTGCAGTTGGCAGGTGCCTGGGCCGCTGCGCAGCACGAGGAAGCCCCCACCCCGGGGCATGCGCACTGGACTGTGGTGCAAGCACGGTTAGCGCTCCCAAAGAGACGCTGGGACCCCCTGGCCGTTGAGCGGAGGTTGGGCGCTGCAGCCACCACCTCGGTGCTCCATGAGGAAGATGCTGGCCGCTGTCGTCTCCCGCGTGTTGTCGGGTGTTGCCCAGAAGCCCGCCCGCAGAGTGCTGGTGGCATCCTACAACTATTCAAAAGATGCCACCTTTGAAATCAAGAAATGCGATCTTTACCGGTTGGAGGAGGGCCCTCCGCTCACCGCGGTGCTCACCAGGGAGGATGGGCTCAAATACTACCGGATGATGCAGGTGGTTCGCCGCATGGAGCTGAAGGCGGACCAGCTGTACAAGCAGAAGTTCATCCGTGGCTTCTGTCACTTGTGCGACGGCCAGGAGGCCTGCTGCGTGGGCCTCGAGGCAGGTATAAACGCCTCAGACCATGTCATCACGTCCTATCGGGCTCATGGCATAAGCTATACTCGGGGGCTCTCGGTCCGATCCATTCTGGCAGAGCTGATGGGACGAAGAGGAGGGTGTGCGAAAGGAAAAGGAGGGTCGATGCACATGTATGCCAAGAACTTCTACGGGGGAAATGGCATTGTGGGCGCCCAGGGCCCCTTGGGTGCTGGGGTTGCCCTGGCCTGTAAATATTTGGGAAACAGTGAAGTCTGCTTGACCTTATATGGGGATGGCGCTGCCAATCAGGGGCAGATAGCTGAAGCTTACAACATGGCAGCTTTGTGGAAATTACCTTGTATTTTTGTTTGTGAGAATAACCTCTACGGGATGGGAACATCTGCTGATAGGGCTGCGGCCAGCACTGACTACTACAAGAGGGGCAACTTTATCCCAGGGCTGCGGGTGGATGGCATGGACGTTCTGTGTGTTCGCGAGGCAACCAAATTTGCAGCCGACTACTGTAGAGCTGGAAACGGGCCCATTCTGATGGAGCTGCAGACCTACCGTTATCATGGACACAGCATGAGCGACCCCGGGGTCAGTTACCGGACCCGAGAAGAGGTTCAGAAGGTTCGAAGTAAGAGTGACCCTATAATGCTTCTCCAAGAGAGAATGGTAAACAGCCAGCTTGCCAGTATTGAAGAATTAAAAGAAATCGACGCTGATGTGAGGAAAGAAATTGATGATGCCGTTCAGTTTGCTACAACCGATCCAGAACCACCTTTGGAAGAATTAGGCCATCACATCTACAGCAATAATCCACCTTTTGAAGTTCGTGGTACAAATCAGTGGATCAAGTTTAAATCCATCAGTTAAAGGAAGACCATATAAAAATTTATTCTAATCCTTCAATGGAATATTCATGACCAAGTTTAAGAAACTGTTCTCAAGTTTGTTAAGGAGGAATAAAACCCATAAAACCAAAGACTTGTAATTTTTTATTCAGAGATTAAACAAGATTAAAAGATGTTTATTCAATTAGGAGGGATATTATTCAATTGTACACTGCATTAAAAGGTACTATACAGTTAATCATTTAATGTGAAAATCTTAAAGATCATTTTTAATTTACACAAATGTAAAATGGGAAAAACAGGATTAACTTCCCAAATCACTTGCCACCATAGTTCTATGTGCCTTACTTTTGTATTATTTTAACAAATACTCTTATTTTTTTTTAAAAAAGTAGTTGATTCCTGTACTCCTCCCCTCCCACTACCCCTCCCACATGAGTTGTGTGAAACATCACTACCCTGCGTTAGAGAAATTATTTCCATCCACTCAGGACCCCTAATGCTATGCCACTTAAAATAGGTTACTTAAATTAACCATAACTAACACAGTTTAGTGTAATAGTGTGCACACACATACTCATGCATATGCAATATTGGTGCTAAAGCCTAACACCATTTTCCCAATAAAACATATTTAATGGAGCAGGAAAAAGAGGACGAGAACTTTAAAAAATATTATTATGCTTTGTTGCAATATTTTTTAGTACACTAAAGAAAAAATAAAATCTGGGAGAAAAACAATTTTGCTTTAACCTTCAAGTTTAAGTTACTCTTATTATATGACCATTTATATCACTATGTGTTCCATATTTTAAAAAGCCATCCTTGTGAATTTCAGACCAAAAAAATGAATAAACAGAGATAGTGATATCAAAGGAATTAAGCAGATGAGATGGCATTAATAAAAAGTTGAAAGCAAAATCTGCCTTGCCTTCAACTATAGTTATTAACTGTATATTACCTGATTAGCTAATATTTTTTAGTGCAACTGACCGTTAACAGATAGCATATTTTCAAAGGAAAATCTAACTTGGCTCATATAGTTTCCGTCTTCTCTATAGCCCAGTAACATGTCAATTAGCAAGTCAGGTCCTAGTGGAAAGCTTTACTTGCTTATATTTCACTAAAGATTTATAATAATGAACTTGATATTTTGCATGCCTTACTCTCTGGAGATAGGCTTACTGAAACCAGAAATGAGAATGTGTAACTTAAGAAACAGTTCGTGGAAAATACCGAAAGAATCAATCAAATGTTAATACTTTTTTTTTTTTTTTTTTGGAGAGGTTTTTGCTATAGGGCGCATGCGCTCGCCAGACAGAGAGAGACAGAGAACCAGAAAGCGAGAAATCACCCCCCAGGGGGATGGTCACGCCGCAGTCCCTTCTCCTCCATTCTCCTCTCGGGATCTTGGGCACGCATGCACACACGCCCGGCGTGAGTTTTAAGCCACTGGGTCCAGGATGCGAACCGTGGTTGACTACGTGGGAGTTCAGCAACATAGCCATTACGCTAACTGCTGGTTCCCAATATTTTTGGTTTTAACTGTATAGCACCTACTTCTACAAATAGAATCTAGCTTCTAAGAACTTAAAGAGAAAAGGGCTCCAACACATGCCTATGTACATGTATACATAATTACTGTATTTCCCCCAAAACAAGTTGAAACAAGTAAGATGACCTTAACATTTTAAATTCAGAAAGCAGAAATAAACATTGATTTGTTTATATATTACCAGTTAACATATTTTGCTTAGAATACTGCAGCTGCATTTCAGAGGTACTTTGATTAGATTCCTACCACTAAAAATAAAAATTTTTATAACATCAAAATAATAAAACATTCTTATTAATAAGAATGTTTATTCTAACATGCTGATACTTCCATATACTTGCAAGTAGAAACTGCTCAATTAAAGCTACTGTGCATATACAATATACAGAACTCAGTTTAAAAAAATTTTTTTGATGTAGGGTATGTATGCCCACCAGAAAGTGAGAAAGCACCCCAAAGTAAGAAAGCACTCAACCAAGGGGGGCAGCTGTGCCATAATCCCTTCTTTTCTATTCTCTTGGAACCCTGGTCACACAACCATGTATGCCAGGTATGTTTTCCAAGCTCCTGGATCTGGAACTAAAACTGCAGAGCTGGCCAGGTGGGATTCAGCTGCCTAAATCACCATGCCACTGGCTAGCCCATAGACATCATTTTAAAACTTGTGTATAAAATAGATTTTTTTTTTTTAGAGGTTTTTGTCTTAGGGTATGTGTGCCGGCTGGAGAGACAGACAGAGACAGTGAAAGGGAAAGTGAGAAATAATCCCCCAGGGGGGATGGTCAAACCACAATCCCTTCTTCCTTCTCCTCCTGGGATCTTGGGCATGCACACATATATGCCCAGTGTGAGTTTCAATTTACCAGATCCAGCACTCAAACTGTAATTGGTCATGTGGGAGTCCAGCAACATAACAGCTACACCATCTGCTGGTCACATATAGATTCTTTTGATGCCAGCAAAAATATGATACAAGTAACTGATTAGAAATCGAATCATTGGGACCAGCAGGTGGCATAATGGTTATGTTGCTGGACTCCCACATAGCCATCTGTGGTTTGAGTCCCAGGCCCTGTGACTTAAACTTATACTGGGCACATGTGCATGTGTGCCCAAAATTCCAAGAGGAGAATAGTGAAGAAGGAATTGCAGTGAGGCCATACCACCCTGTGTGTGTGGGAGGGGGGGGGAAGGGGGCCATATCTCACTTTCTGTCTCTCTGGCTAGCACATGCTTGCTATAGCAAAAATCTCTCACTCAGAAATCAAATAATCAACTAAATCAAGATACACAGTATTGTACCCCATTATAAGAAAAAAATCTAAATCTTACTATATTAGTGGAATAATGTACATTTGTCACATACTACCAAATACCATAAAACAAAAAGTTTCCTATATTAAAAAAATATTGAGAGTTTTGTGTAAACATTTAGTAACTATAGCATTATTGGCTATGCACAATTCATGCAAACAAAGAAAAAAACCCAAACAGTTGTTTTCAACAAGGTCAAGCTTTATTGCTTGACTAATGATAATAATCTACGAGGTATAAACCTGTATAGTGTAGAAATCCAGCAGTTGGATTCTATTTCCTGCCTATAGGACTAGGTTACTCAATCCATCTTATCCACATATCAGAAGACCTAATAAGCCATGATAGTCATAATAAAAACTTCACTGTGGAAGCATTGCCAGATTATTTGAGAGAAGAAAGAATCTTTATGATACTCCATAAAAGTAAAGGATTGTGTATATATATGTATGGAATGGAATGAGAAAGAAGGTTTAGCAAGATCTATAAAGGGAATCGTCAGATACACTGGAATTACATTTATTTAAAATAAATGAATACATCTTCCCACCTAGTATACAAAAATCCCCAGCATATTGCTAGTGAAATTTAATCTGACAATTTATGAAAATGAGCTAGTTTTTAAAAATGGAAATACATACTATAAAGTACATCCTTCTAAAAGTGTACAATTCAATAGTTTAAGTATATTTGCAACCATGACCACTACTATCTAATTTGAGAACATTTTTATCACTCTAAAGAGAAAACCCATACCCATTTTAAATCACTCCCATTTCCCCTGGAAACTACTAATCTACTTCTTACTCTAGATTTCCCTATTCTGCATATTTCATATAAATCATAAACTATGTGGTCCCATGGACTGGCTGTTTTCATTTAACATAATGTTTTTGAGTTTTATCCATACTGTAGCATGTATCAGTACTTTATTCTTTTTATGATTGAATCACATTCTCTTTTATCAATTTTTGGTCATATGAATTTTTTCCTACTATCTGAATATTATGAATAATAACAGCTTATGCTGAAATAAAGTTTAATACTTTAAACGTAAAGATGAGATTGTAAAGATATTGACTAAGACAAGAATAGTATCTTTTATGATACAAATCCCTTTCAATTAAATCAAGTTTAAGAAAAGTGTTAAAATACTTTTAAGTCTGATCATGTATAAATTTATTTAACCTACTGTTCCAATTGGATTTTGACTTTTTTTTTAAAGAGTGATTTTTGCTATAGGGCACATGTGCTCCCTGAGGAGACAGAAAAAGAGAGAGAAAGGGAGAAATAATCTCCTGGGGTGATGGCCACGCCACAATCCCCTCTCCTCCATTGTCCTCGTGGGATCTTGGGCATGCACGCACACATTCCTGGCGTGAGGTTTAAGCCATAGGGTCTGAGACTAAAACCGCAGTTGACTACATGGGAGTCTAGCAATGTAATCATTATGCCATGTGCTGGTCCCTGGATTTTGATTTTTAATAGACTATTTTTAGAGCAACTTTATATGCCAACTTTCTACCCTCTATGACAGAAACTGAAAAAATTAGAGGATATAGAAGCATGGGAAATGGTTACTGATACTGGAGAAATTATGGGAAGAGGGTGGGAGAAGGAGGAGAACATGAGGAAAGGAATCAAGGAGAAGAATAGAGAGGCAAGACATGTATGGGACAGAGAAATGGATGGTTATCTGGTGAGGATTACATGTATAGTATCTTCAACTGGACTGGTATAAAGCGTGTTCATGTTGGGTAAATTCACTTTACAAGCTATAGTGATGTATAGTGATTGAATGTATAAAATAAAGTAAAATTAAAAAAAGTTATCATATACCTCACACTCAGTTTCTTATTTTATTTTTTATTTTTTGGAGAGATTTTCACTGTAGGGCGTGTGCGCTCGCCAGACAGACAGAGAGAGACATAGAGACAGAAAGCGAGAAATCACCCCCCAGGGGGGATGGTCACGCCGCAATCCCTTCTCCTCCATTCTCCTCTCGGGATCTTGGGCACGCACGCACACGCGCCCGGCGTGAGTTTTAAGCCACCGGGTCCGGGACATGAACCGCAGTCGGCTACGTGGGAGTCCAGTGACATAGCCATTACGCTAACTGCTGGTTCCCTTATTTTATTTTTTTAAAGAGATTTTTTTTTTATAGGGAGCATGTACTTGCCAGAGAGAGAGAGAGACAGAGAGACAGAGAGACACAGAGAGAGAGACAGACAAAAAGCAAGAATACATCCCCCAGAGG